AACGTAAACACGGGTCAGCTGATACGATCTGTCTTACCAGAGCGCCATGTAAATGAAAATTCAACACCGCAGAATTTTTCTGTAGTTGTTGCCCGTAGCGCAGAAATCTGCGGAATTTAGATTTTTCCGTGTCAGTTGATTTCTTCCTTCTATAGATGGTAGCCACTTAGTCAGTTTTGCAGATGGTAAAAAAGTTATAAGTTCCTATTCAAAATGCGTTTCAAATATTTGAAATTTACTTTCGAATTAGGTTTTTTGTTAAAAAATAAGTAGTTTATATTTAGCTAGCATCTATTATAGCACGAAAAATTGTAGTTGAAAAGGTAAGTTTATGAAAAGGCATTGATGAGTGGCAACACTGTAGTAAGCAACACTGAGGGCTCCAGTAATCGACAAAATTCTGCCTATACAGACTGCGTTTAAGTATAAGTTCTGCGTTCTTGACTAATTTCACCTTTAATTTGGACGGCCAAAATTTCCTCTTCGTCGATACGAGACTATTTTTCTCGTGAGTGCGCTGTCAAAAGGTTCAAAGCGAATTGAGAGAGTTTCGTATCATAATATCCGTGGCTTCGTTCTGGCAATTTGCGATGTGTCGTGTGTTTTCGCTTGACAAACCGAAATTCTCCAGCTACTAACTGCGTTTACGGTTAAATTCTACGACAGCGACTAATTGTATCTGAAGAATGGTGTGAGGAATGCGGCTGCCAGTTTTTGTATTGCCCGGTGGCAACTTTCGCGTTACAAAAAGTATTCTGAAGAAATATGGCAAGGTTCGTCAGATATTCCAATGGTTAATTTTTGAATTGTTGATGTTTGTTTGAACCGAAAATCTTGTTTGGCTTATTATTGCACAGTGAAGGTGTAGGAATTTTGTATTCTAAAATTGTTGATTAAATGTTCAAGTACAATAACGCAAAGTATAAGTTGCCAGTTTCTTTAAGGTAAGAACTTTATTCCAAATGCTTAAAATTGCTATGAAGATAGAGTAGAAATAATTGAGAGGAGTTATTCCGCAAAATTATTGTCTATAATTTTTGTAGGGGAAAGTTTCCATTATGGCCGTTCGTTAAAGGTGCGGTGGGCGTAGGGTAAGTGGGCGTGGCCCTTCCAACCGACCTTTTTGGAGAGGGCATGAACCGCCATTGACAAAAAT